ATAGGCTCACCTATCACCCTTTCCATTTCCCTCTTGCATTTGATCCTCATCTTCCCCAGGCCATTCAGGGTGGTGGGAAGACTGGCCTGGTACCTGGTACCTGGTACCTGGGTGGGGGTAAGTCAGGGGTGCTGCTACTGGAGCATCTTCCCTAACCCCTGTCCCCCAGCTACCTGGACCAGCCCTGTCTTGAGACCATCAACCGCATCAAGTTGTACAGTGAGTCCCTGGCCCGGTATGGCAAGAGCCCATATTTATACCCGCTCTACGGCCTGGGCGAGCTGCCCCAGGGTTTTGCAAGGTGAGGACGTGGGTTTTTTCAGTTGGCATGGCTGAGTAGGACTAGGGCCAGGAGTGGAGATGGCCCCTTGAGCATTTCCCTGGTAGCATTTCCTCCTTTCCAATTCGTGATCTTCATTTACTTCACTCCATCCTTGGGTGATGAGGGCACAACCCCAGTGCACTGAAGTACAGAAGTCTCCACACTTGAAGAACCAAGTTTCCACAAATGTGACTTGCTCAGTTCCCGGCAGCACCAGGACTGGGCCCAGGGCCCCAGAACCTTGAGTCAGGGCTTCGCTGGGAGGTGACCTATCTTGAGAGAGTCCATCCTGGTCCTTCAGGCTGTCTTGGTGCAGAGCACTGCTCCCTCATGCCCCCTTCTGCTGGTCCTTGGCAGTGTATTCTGGGCAGAAGAAGCTCCAGAGAGGAAAGAGCCCGCTGAGATGGGGCCAGAGTTCACGGCAGTGACACAGCTGGGATGAATCCCGGCGTCTCCTGCCTGCTGCCTGCCTGGGGCAGCCTTTTTTGCACCTTGGTAGAGGAAGGGTGACAGTGGAATTGGTCCCCGTTTCTCCTGGGAGGGGCCTTCACCAGGACTGTTCTCACCACAGATTGAGTGCCATCTATGGGGGGACGTATATGCTGAACAAACCTGTGGATGACATCATCATGGAGAATGGCAAGGTGGTGGGCGTGAAATCTGAGGGAGAGGTGAGCCTTTCTGGTGCAGTGCAGTCACCATGGTTGAGGCAGGGCTTGGTCACCTTCTTCTCACTGTGCTGCCGGGTCTCCTGCTGCACAGCCCCGAGGGTCTTGGAGCTGGGAACTGGGCGTCCAGAAGTCTTCGGAGCCATGCATGTGGGTGAGAGGCTATTTCACAGGCCACACGCCGTGTCTGTAGTGCAGAAAGTGTTCTTGATCACGGGGCATCTGGGAGGCGGGGGCGGGCACCCAGCCTATGCGTCAGGGCCTACCTCTGTGAGCTGCAGGGCAGGGCCATGCATTCAGGAGGGGCAGTAGTGATGGCTCCGAGGAGTGCCTTGTCTGCCAGAGCTGCCTGCCTTTGCTGTGAACACAGCCCCAAGACTACCTAAGGGAGTGATCTGACGGGCAAGGATTTCTGGTGCCTTCTCAGGTGGCCCGCTGCAAGCAGCTGATCTGTGACCCCAGCTACATCCCGGACCGTGTGCGGAAGGCTGGCCAGGTTATCCGCATCATCTGTATCCTTAGCCACCCCATCAAGAACACCAACGATGCCAACTCCTGCCAAATAATCATCCCCCAGAACCAGGTCAACAGGAAGTCAGGTAGGCCGGGTGCTGGTACAACTTCCTCTAGGGTGTTCTCTTTGGGGTTACCCTTTCTCTCCCCATCAGTGTCGGAGCTCCCTGCCTTACCTCTCTGGAAAAAATTTGACCCACATTGTAGTCACCACAACTTGGACCCCTAGGGTTTGGGTGGCCTGGACTCTTCCCCTCTGGGAGGGTGGTGGCTTGGATGCTACCTGCTTTGCGGGGCTGGGGAGGGGGCAGGTGGGCCAGACTTGTGTCCAGCCACTGGAACCCATCTCTGCGTATGGCCAGCGCCTCTGGCCCGAGTTGACGGAGCTCTTCCTGTGGCCAGACATCTACGTGTGCATGATCTCCTATGCACACAACGTGGCAGCCCAGGGCAAATACATTGCCATCGCCAGCACTACTGTGGAGACCACGGACCCTGAAAAGGAGGTGGAGCCGGCTCTGGAGCTGTTGGAGCCCATTGACCAGAAGTGAGGGGCTGGGCTGAGCCCGAGAGGGAGAGGGAGGGAGCCCAGGAGCTGGGCTTAGGGACCAGGAAGGGCATGGCCCGTTGTGAGGCCTGTCCCCTCCCCTCTGTCTGCCCCTCAGGTTTGTGGCTATCAGTGACTTGTATGAGCCCATTGATGATGGTTGTGAGAGCCAGGTAAGCAGTTTGTCCCAGCGCTGGCTCCTGGCCGCCCCCCCAGGGCACCTGCCTGACTCACCCTGGGCGCTGGGCTTTGGCTGTTTCCAGGTATTCTGTTCCTGCTCCTACGATGCCACCACACACTTTGAGACAACCTGCAACGACATCAAAGACATCTACAAACGCATGGCTGGCATGGCCTTTGACTTTGAGAACATGAAGCGTAAACAGAACGACGTCTTTGGAGAAGCTGAGCAGTGATTGTGGCCGCCCCCAGCCCCTGCTGCCCCAGCCTGTGTCTGTTCTCCTAGAGGGCTCCAGCATCCTCTGCTTCCCCCACCACGTTCCCATCACCCACCTCATTGATCCACTGACCAAATCCTTAACCCTAGCGATGGTTTGGGAGATGGGGGGTTGGATAGCATCCTCTTTCTTGGCCCTTCCTTATCCTAGGAAAAGAGGGTTCCTCTCCTTGTGTGTGTCTCTTCCCCCCACCCCTAATTCTTCTGCTCTGTTCGGGAAGACGGGGAGGAAAAGGTGACTTCTGCCCCCACCGCTCTTACCCCCACTGTAGTGGCCTTTGGAGATGCCCCCACCTCCCCCCACCAACTCTTGGCGTGTTGGAGAGAAGGGGCCCTCCCAGCACAAAGTTGCATTCCTCCCCCCTAATTTATTCTAATTTATTAACTTCGACCCACCCTTTCTGAGCCTGCAGCCTTCCCGTGTGGCCTGGGGGCTGTAGAGTGAGCTGCCCCAGCCCCTCCCAGCCCTTGCCCAGCCTGGGGCAGTGGGGAAGGCTTGGGTGTGGCCCCGTTGGAGGTTGATTTGCTGTTTTGTTTCTTGTCTTTGTGTTTGTGTTCTGTGGTACTTGCTGAGAGAAAAACGTGAGCAAAGCAGAAGGAGGTGGGAAAATGGACCCAAACCCCAGTGTGCCCTGCCCGTACCTTTCCTTTAGTGGTGGGAAACCCTTATCTTGCAAAGTGAATGTGTCCCCTTCCCCACCCTCTAGTGTATTTCACAGAAAACAAAACCTCCCAATAAAACGGTTGAAACCTGAACCTCTGGATCTTTACGGTTATCTCCCAAAAGCTGGGTACCTGGCAGGGCTTTGGCTGCCTGGGTTGGGGCTCTGGCTTAGCTTCACTCTGGACTGTAAAAGGTGGCAGTCGTCAGGGAATTCCTCACCCAGAGCACGCTGGGGCCAAACTGACTTAAAGCTTAAGGCTACCAGTGAGTTAATGCTGGCACCAGGACTGCAGCCCTCAGTGCTCAATGCAGGGGGAGTGCGGTGGGGGGCGGGTGTCAACGTGGAGAAAGCAGAGGGAGCGGGGGTCTTGGCCTCTGGCTTGAGAGGGCAGAGGGGGTCCGGGGCCAGCCTTGGATGGGGTGAAGCAGGGGGACAGGGGTGCCAGTTTTCGGCTTAATGCGGGGGACCAGGGCCTGGCCTCAGGCAGGGAGGCAGCACGGGGACCAGCCTTGGGGTCAACAGGAGGAATTAGAGGGACCAGGGGCCCAGCCTTGGCTCGGGTTAACGTCGAGGCAGCGCGAGGGGCTGGGGGATTCAGCCTCCGGGGTCCACAGGAGCCGGCGGTGGGGGCTGGGATGGGAGTCCATGCAGGGTAAGGGGCGGTCTCCGGCGG